TCTACTGAGCTATCTCCCTGGCCCCCATTTTGAGAATTTAATAAAATTTTATATATATTATATATGTATATACACACACACTTTTAGAGTATCATAAATATTAGCAGATATATAAGCACAAATATTGATAGTCCGTATATAATAATAATGAATATGTACGTGTGAATAAATGTTGTTCTTGGGCTATAGGAGTAGGTTCATGGTAGAGCACCTGTCTGTCATGTGGGAGACTTGGAGTGCCATTCCCAGCGCTGCAGAAAAGAAAAAATGCTGTTCTTTTGAGACATTTTAGAAGTTTTTTCTAATTTTGCTCAGTTTTTCATGAATATCTAGTGTGTGCTATCTAATACAATGGGCTACTTTTGTGTGTGTGTGTGTGTGTGTGTGTGTGTGTGTCTTTTGGAGACAAGGTCTCGCTGTGCAGTTCTGGCCCACCTTGAGCTCACTTTGTAGCCCAGGGAACTCAATACAGGTCCTACCTCAGCCTCCCTAGAGCTGAAATTATAGGTGTCTGCCTCCACGCCCAGCTTAGGCTACTTTTTGAATTTCTATAGGTACCAAGCTTTGTAGTGAATTATACATTGTTCTGTTTCTGCCTCAGTTGTTTGTTTTGGGTTTTTTTGGGACAAGGTCTCACTGTGTAGTCCAGGCTGGACTTGTTTTCTAAGGAGTACATTTTAGTGCTATTTTAACCATTGAGAAAGTAGGAAGTTTCACAGTAACTAGCTCAGTGTCACACAAAGAAATGACTGGACTCTCTCTTTTTTTTTTTTTTTTTGTATTTTAGGGAAGGGTCTACAGGATGTTCAGGGTATCACTACTAGATTGGACTTGTAGTGATCTGCTTGTTTACAGCCTCCCAAGAGCTGGGATTAGAGGCGTGTGCCACTACTTCTAGTCTTTCTTCCTTCCTGTACTTAGTTTCTCTTTGTAACTATATCACTTTGTCATACACAAGGTGTTGATCATTTGAGGGAGGAGGACTGATTTTTACCACTTCAGCTTATAATTTGAAAAGTTTTTTTATTTTTTATGTTACATTGTGTTATATTGTGTTATGTATGTATTTAGTACAGGGTCTACAGGGTCTCACTATGTAGATGGGACTTGTAGTGATTCTCCTGTTTTCAGCCTCTCAGGTGCTGGGATTACAGGTGTGCATGGCAACTCCTAATCTCATTTGTCTCAGCACACCCGGACAGCAGGGCCAGCACATGCACTGGGAATCGAACCCCGGCCGTCGTGCTCTGTCTAAGCAGGCGCTTTCATCGCTGAGCTATCTGGCTGGCCTGAAAAGGTTTTTATTTTTTTTTTATTTTAGGACAGGGTGTACAGGGTCTCACTGTGTAGATCAGACTCATAGTGACCCTCCTGTTTACAGCCTCCCAAGCACTGGGATTACAGGCATGCTCCTAGTCTCAGGCGACATCTCAGTGCACCCAGAGCTGGGGCCGGCACAGCAGGCTAGGTGATTGAACTCCCTGCCCCTGTGTCTGCCTAAGCAGGTGCTTTAATCCACTAAGCTATTTGGCCAGCCCTCTGAAAAATCTTTTAAAGTAGTTTATTAACATTATGAAATGTTTCAAACATATAAATAAGTAGTCTTGTATCTGCTACCTAGATTTAACAGGCAACTTTTAATATATGTTATATTTGCTTCATATGTTTTGGAAGTTATTTTATATTTCTTTTGCTTCATGTTTTTTAAACAAATGTAACCTTAATGACTAAAGGTTACCAGTTTTCTTCATCTGCACCCCATTGCCCGAAGTTGCTAGAGTACATGAGCTCCATGAACATGCCTGTGCTACTGCAGTTGACAAACGTCATTCTTTCCGTGCTTCTGGTCGCAAACTGAGCTGGCCGAGAACCAGGTCAACTTCAGTGGTTAGGTTCAGTGTTGACCTGGGAAATTTGATTCGGTTCTTGTCCAGTTCACTTTGCAACCAGAATCGTGGAGAAAATTAAGTTCATGTGTAAACATGTAGGCTGTTTCTGCTTTCTTATTAATATAAAGCAGGAGAGATATTAGATAATCAGATCTGTCACCTTCCTGTGTTCAGCTGTAAAGACTTCCTCAGATACAAAATAATAAAAACTGCAAAGAAAATAGACAAAACTGACTGCAGTTGCCTTGAAGTTTCTGTATGGCCCAGTGTAAGATAAACAGAATGAAAGAACAAGCTATTGGGAGAACATTTGCATTCCTGTAACCAACAGAGGACGTTATCCAGGTTATATACAGAATTCCTGTACTGAGTTAGTCGAAGTTTATGTATATGTTAGCTTGCAGTGCTAACTGTAACTATTCCTAAGAACTTGTTTAATATACTAGTATTTGAAACATGTTAAAAATAATCTCGCAGTATTCTGGATTTGTCCATTTTTTTATATAATTATAAATTTTGAGACCATGCTATTAGATGTGTATAGGTGGTTTTTTTAATCTAGTAAATCACTCTTTATGTAATAACTTCCTAATTGTGATTTTAAGTAAAAAAATGTTTGAACTGGTGTAACCAAGGTGCATTGTCTTTCTTTCAGCTACTGTTTGCCTTTTATGTCATGTTCTGTCAAGTTTTGACTTTTTTTTTTGGTAGTACTGGGGATTAAACCTAGAGAGAGCTTGATACTAAACTATATTCCTGGCCTTTGTATTTTTAAATTTGAGACAGAATTTAAGTTGATTAAACTTGTAGTCCTTCTGCCTCAGTCACCTAAGTAGCTGGGACGACAGTCATGTACCTGATGTCCACCATTTTTCTTCTAAATGTAGCACAAAACTTTTCTCTTTAGGTGTATTTTTATTTTGTTTCATGGAACTGGGGATCAAATTTAGGACCTTGTGTTTGCCAGTAGAATAGGTGTAATTATTTAAATGTCAGAAGGGTACATTTTTTTTTTTTTTTTTTTAAATTTTAGGGATGGGTCTATAGGGTGTTCAGGATCTCACTACTAGATCAGACTCGTAGTGATCCATCTGTTTACAGCCTCCCAAGAGTTGGGATTACAGGCACGCGTCACCACGCCCAGTCTCAATTGCCATCTCAGTGCACCCCAGGGGCAGGGCCAGCATGGCAGGTCTGGGGATCTTAATCCACTGAGCTATTTGGCCAGCCCTCAGATGGGTACATTTTAAAAATTTTATGTGTTTTGTCTTTAACTAGCTTATTTTAGTCTATTTGCATTTGTGGCAGTTGCTAATAACTTTTTTGTTGTTGTTTTTTCTTTTTTATCTTTCTTTCTTTTTTTTTTTTGGTACTGGCATTCAAATTCAGGACCTTGTGCCTGCCAGGCAGGTGCTTAAGCTCCCTGCGCCAGGGAGCTTTACACTCATTCTTCTTTCAGTGTTTTCTGTGTAACATATCCGGTTTTGCCCTCCACCGCTATACCCTATGTTCCATGTTCATTATTACAGCTAGTATATTTCTCTCTTCAACTTTTCTCTGCTGATTGCAGAATCACATTTTTCTTTTTTGCTCTTCTGTAGTGATACTACATAATATTTTTTGACATATGTGTATTTATTTTTATTTATTTATTTTTTGGTGGATCTGGGGATTGAACTCAGGCCCTTCCGCTTGCCAGGGAAGTGCTTATTCCACTGAGCCATCTCCCCGACCCCTGACATGTGTATTTAAGTCTAATTAATAGTATCTTTGCCCTCTTTCCAATGCTATAATCATAAGACCATAGAATGAGTTAACTTTAGTTGCCCTGTAGCCTCTTACATGCTCTTACAAGCCAGCATTTGGGTTATTTTTGTATCCCAAATTAAATGATTATTAATTGCAAAAGTTGTTTAGTTTTATCTGTACTTTTATGATTTTCTTTGTTTTTGTCACTACTTGCACACTCCCATCTTCTTGCCTGGTTCTTTCGGTCACAGTACGTGGTTTCTCTTTGTTTGACTGTTACATTTTGGAATGAGAGCACTGTCGCTTGAGGTCAGAGTTACAGAGCTGGCAGTAGCCCCCAGCTTCCTGCACTTTCAAGTTCTTTGACCTTTTCTAGAATTCTCGAATTCCTGTTTTATTTAAAAATGAGTCTTCTACATTATAGGTGGAAATTTAGTGAAGACATCATTAGGGAAAAAAGTCAGTGCCGGTGAACCATTTTAGAGAAGAGCGCCTGAACTCCACCCCACATCAGCGTTCCTTGTCACAAGCATCCGTACTTCAGATTCATGTGAATATTGAAGTTTTAGTTTAGAAAAAAGAACTCATACTTAACATCTTCTGTCTTAAAAAACAACACGCATGGCCAGGCTCACCACCTCTAGGGGAGAACAGATGGCATTACGGCAGGTGGTTAGCGCTGCTGGGGAAAGCACAGTTCGACTTTGACTGCACCGGGACCTGGTACCCTGCTCCACACAGTGGCAGTGCTTGCCTGACAGGCTTAATGAGTGTGTGAGACCGAAGGATCATTTACTAGGTGGTAATCGGAAATACACTTTCTTGCTCATGTCTCAGCTTCTGTATACATTTAGTGTAGTGGTCTGTTCTTCCTTCCGTGACTATTACTTGGTTGGACCACGAGCTTAGGTTGGAGAACAAAACTAAAAAGTGCAGGTAGTGTTGAGGTGGCAGAATATTAAAAGCTTTGCATTTCAAAGGCATGGCATGTGTTTTTTTTTTTTTTTTTTTTTTTTTTTTTTTTTTTTTTGATAATGGTCTCTGGCCTTAGGAATACAGGCTGTTTATCAAATGTGTTGACTATATCCTAGAAACATCAACTGAGCTCCTCTTGTGAATGTCTGTCCTGCCCGTCATCCCACAGCGTGTCCAGCGAGACTTCTCGATTAGTCATTGTACAAGTAATGAGTACTACATTTGAAATATCTCAGCTTTCATGGTTCAAAAATTCTAGAAACCAAAGCCATTTTTTAATGTTTCACTTTTTCATGCATTATAGTTAGTGTCCTTAAATTTTAAGTAGATGTTTGTGATGTATATATTTTTTTATTTTTTTTAAAGCATGTTTCATATTTGTTTAAGGTGGACAGGCATGTAGACCTGCTAGAAGTTGCTCAAGAAACTGATGGGTTTTCAGGAAGTGATCTCAAAGAGATGTGTCGAGATGCTGCCCTCCTCTGTGTCAGGGAATATGTTAATTCTACATCAGAAGAAAGGTATGTAGTCTTAGACTTGATGTCTAGTATTATCAAGCCTGTTAGAGCTGGCACGTTAGTGTTCTCTCTCTCTCTCTCTCTCTCTCTCTCTCTCTCTCTCTCTCTCTGTTGCTTTCTAATGGCAGCTCTGCTTTAAGGAGTAGAGTGTAAATTTGAGTCAGCAAACTGCTTTCTTTATTGCCATTTTTCTAAAGGCGGGTTCTGAAATTGAAGAGAAGGACTATGGGGAGATTCTAGGATGAAAGGAAGGACTTTTAATGGTTAATCTGTGGAATGAGTCTTACAAAACTGATGGAAACCTAGGTTGCTCATTTATTAGGAAAAGAGCTATTCTTTTTTTTTCCAAGTTATTAAATAATTTTATTCTTTTTTCTTTTATATTGTTAAAAGTAGCCCAGTGTTAACCATGAGAACAAAATCTGAATTTTTTTTAAAAAGCAATCTTTTTTAGGTTTATACAAAGCATGTATAAATATCTCTATTGAGAAAATATCTCAGAATTACATTGCACAGATGTAGAAGTGCCAAACATAATAAAAAAGAAAATACCTCCAAATCAAAGAAGGTTAGACAGTGTTGTTAAAGTCAGTTTTGGCCAGCCTTGCTGACTAATGCGTCTCAAATTAAAAGTTATATTTAGACACTATGAGAGAAAACATTGTATGTGGCTAGCACGAAGAGTATTCCTCAAAGAGCTTTTTCTTGCATCTCTGGATTGCTTCTGCATCATAAATTCCATTTTATATAGAAATGAGTACTTTGTCTTCTAGAAAATTCCTATGTAAATGAAAGGTAAATGGGGGTGCCGAGAGCGCGGCCTCAACTTTAACGTAATGTGTGTACTGAACAAACTGTCACTAAAGCAAATTTTCCATGAAACGAATTTCAAAGTATGCTAAGCTTAGGAGGTCTATTTTGTACCATTCTAATTCTAGCCAACATATGAGTAGACTGAAATAATTCAACCTTGATGAGCTCTGTCCTCAGGGGTGTGTCCAAAAGGCTGCTTGCTCTAAGTCAGTACGACACTATATTTCTTTCCAGAATATCAGCTTACTAACAAAGAATTTTTGTAACATTCAGTAAAGGAGTATATTTTGGGGAATTGTGTTGTGTTCTCCCAGCTCTTGCTCCTTTTTTTTTCAGTCTTCCTTCCTGAGCTCCCTGATGTTTTCCCTCTAGGAGCGCCTGATTTGCTGTGCTATTCTTGTATTTAATTGCCGTATATTGCCATAGCAAGTGTCTCCAAAATCTTTTTTTTTTTTTTTTTGTATACAAAAAGGTATGTATTAAAGCTACCTGTCTTCTGGTAGCTGTGTAGGTCCTGGTCTTGGTCCTGTTTCCATTTCTCAGGCTCCTGAAATTCACTATGAAGAGGTTCTCGCTGTTCATTACCAGATTAATCCAGATTTTAAAGACTGTGTCTTTACAGTGGCATTAAAAGTTATGTTTTGTGAATTATGGTCAAATTTAATTTGATCACCAAAAATGAAATAGTAGCTGCTACTGAATGTGCTAAAAATACTCATTTTGGGCTGGGGAGATGGCTCAGTGGAATAAGCGCTACCCTGACAAGCGCAGGGGTCTGAGTTCAATCCCTGGTTTTGCCAAAAAAAAAAGAAAGAAAGAAGGAAAAAGAAACTCAGGATATAAAAATACTCATTTTATAACTTTAATTTTAAAATTTTTCTCAGCTTACTGTAAATTGTGGCCTCTTTAAGTACAAATGTTCAGACCAAAATCCACATATGTGCACCACTTGAGCACAGCTGAGAATGCCTTTGGCCTCCGTGCTGTGCTATTCTTGTATTTAATTGCCGTATATTAATATTGTATTTAATAACCTTTTAGTTTTCTACTTCTTAGCAGTCATGCTTAAGTCTTTTTTTTTTTTTTTTAGAATTAGAATATATTTTTAAAATAGGCATAAAGAAGTATATACTTCTTATGTTTACACATAATTCCAAAAATCTCACCATATACAACCTTGAAGCAGTACAGTCCCACAATATTCCTTTTCCTGTCTTTTGCTTTCATTCACCACCCCTTTCTCTTTAAAAAACCTCTACCCAAGAGACATCATAACAGCAACTCGCATGTGATGACAAGCAATGCGTATTCACAAGCCAGAATTACAGGTACTCCAATAATGAAACTACTATTACAGATTACCATCTGCAGTGCAGGATCATTGCCTTGCCCATCTTCTACATATAACTGTATGTGTTGACATTGTCAGGTTTCCTAACTCCTCTCCTTCCCCTGTCTTGATTAGTAGTACTTGAGATCCTACTTCCCTTTTACATGTATTATACTTTCTATTTGTATTTCTTCTTTGAGTTCTTTTTTTTTTTCAAAGTTTTATTGACAAAGAGATAGCAATGAGACAGTTTCAAATCAAATCGGAAGGACAGTTTCAACAAATAATACACTGCATATATTCTTCTTAGTGGTTAATTGCTGTACAAGATGCGGACTTGTGATCCTATTCACAAACACCATTAGAACAAATCATTCTATTCATTAAGAGAATGCAACTATATAATCTATCCCAACCTCTTTGAATACACAGATACAAAATGGACATTCATCGGTATACCCCATTTTTTCTAAGTTACATTATTGAATATTATAGGTGTGTAAACTCAGCAAAATATTCTAAAAGAGTCCAGTAGCCTATAATAGCATTGGGTCTTATATTTAACTGGCAATGTCAGAAATTATTGACCTGAGTCCCCCACAGCTCAACTTAACAGCATGGCTTTATTTTTTATATTTCGACTTCATACTTTTCTACTGGATGGTTAAGACCAAGGTAAAGCAGGACCTATGCAAGAAGAGTTGTAGCTTTTTGGTCTTAGAAGGTCAGTGAAATGCCCTCAGGATTTGTCCTGAGATCCTGTACCTCAGATTGTAGAACCTTCATCAGTGCAGCCATGTGGATGAGTCACGGCCAATGCTTGGCCAATGTGCTCTCTGTGAAAGCCTGAGAGAGTGTCTTCTCCCCATGTGACTCTCCTTAGGCACACTCTACGTCATCGATCACTTTCCTCTTTGGCCCCATAATCTTCTTGATCAGAAAATTTGGGACTCTACCGAGGTACATGACGTTACAGTACAAGTTCTCATATGTCCTGAGTCTTAATCGACCTTAGAAGGTTAGGGCCAAAATGTTGGCTTTCCTTGTATCCTTCCTTTTTCTCTAATTTGGTCTGCAAACTTAGGTTGTTAACCATCCAGAAGAAAAGCTTATTGTTATTATCAAACGATTTGGGCTATCAATCTTAACATCACTATCTCACATGCTTAAGTCTTTTATGGCTTGCATATGTGTATATCTTGGAGGAATTTGTTTGAAATGTTAATTATGACTATCTTTGAGGTCTTGAGTGGGAAAGAGATTTTATTATTATACTGCTTTGTATAGTTGAAGACAAATTTACTTTTCAGCACTTGCAATTTTTAATTGTGGCAAATATTTTGGGGCAGTGTATTCTAAAATTATTTGTATACTTGGTGATTTTGTTTTGTTTTAGTCATGATGAAGATGAAATCCGGCCTGTACAACAGCAAGACCTTCATCGGGCAATTGAAAAGATGAAGAAATCGAAGGACGCAGCATTTCAGAATGTTTTGACACATGTTTGTTTAGACTAAGAGTAAAGATCATTTGTACAGTTCAGTGATCTAGTTGGGTGTGCCCTGTTACCAGTTAGTGCAAGTAGAGTGGAGGGAGTACTCTTAAAACAAGAGTCCCGGTTTATGATTTTATGCTCTGAACTCTTAACTTATTGAGGTACAATTGTTACATAAGTGGTATTACACTTGTCAGAAATCATGAAGAGGAACAGTTTAATCCAGCCCAAGTGTGGGTGCTTGTGTTTGACCTCTTTAGCCATATGTTGTCACAGCCTTACAGAATCTAACCTGGTCTTAAAGGAGTAAAAGATTTATGGAGTCATTAGTGAGAAGTGAGATGTGGTTAGGTGCTGGTTCTAGATATGTATGTCTGTGTACGTATGTGTGTACATTAAGTGTATATATTCATACATTTTTTATTGACATTCTGTAGATATGTTTGAATACAGAAACTTTTTTTTATCCCAACCACTGAATCCGAAAATACCAAATAGTATATAGCAAAACTAAGATTTAAGTTTGTGTCTTAACAGGTAAAGTGATGCAGCCACTTCTCATTTGTTTTAGCCTTTTTTAGGTTGAGCATTTCTCAGTTTGCAATTAATCAGTTGAATCAGGCACATCTGAGTATATATATATATAGTATATATAATATATATATATATATTATATATATGTGGCTTAATTATAATGATTATAAGGATAATCACATAAAAATGCTTGTTTAGGCAGACATGGTCAGCACTGATTTCCCCTTTTTCTGCAAGCACCTAAATTATTTTAAAAGATATTATATTGATATACATGAAGGTGGATTGAAAGCCTTTTAAAGGAATGAGTTTGAAAAATGTCAGCATCCTTTAAGATATGTGTTTGACTTTGCTTCTTTTATTGTAATAGATAGTTCTGTTGTAACCATGTCTTTAAAATGACATTAAAAGTTATGTTTTATAAATTATGGACAAATTTAATTTGGTCACCAAAAATGAAATAGTAACTCTTAAGTACCTGTTACTAAATGTGCTAAAAATACTCATTTTATAACTTTAATTTAAAAAATTTTCTCAGCTTACTGTAAATTGTGGCCTCTTTAAGTACAAATGTTCAGATCAAAATTCACATATGTGTATCATTTGTGACTACATTTGTGAAGTTACGTGTTCTACATATAAAATATTGCTTGTTTCAAGTTCCACTAACTAGATTTCTGTTCTAGGCACCTCAACACCCAGCATGGGGAAGACGGCACAGCACAATCTTTAAGGTGCCTTCTGCATCGTCAGAAATACTGTTTTAGATGTATTTGTTGTTACTATATTTATTTGAAAACTCCATCTTTGTTCATGACTTAGTGCATTAACTTAGTTTAATAATGTCACAGAAATCTACTGAATAGTATAACCACTCGTACTTTGTGGGGAGAGTCTGCAGGAGAATTCTTTCAATAACAAAAGGCAAATTACAAAAGATGAAAATGAAAAAATGAATGCAAAATACAAGATACCAAAAATTTAAAAATTCCCATTTTTAATAATTATATTACTATTTTATAATGTATAATAAAGGGGTCCTACTCTGTTGATTTTTCTCCACTTAATCTGTGGTCTTGTTAAATCTTAAGGGGTGGGGCCAGCGAGATAGCTCAGTGGTCTAAAGCACTTGCTTAGGTGAGCTTAGGCAAAAGCGCAAGGACTGTGGTTTGATCCCCGGCACCACATGCCACACTAGCCCCGCCCCCAGGGTGGGCTGAGCTGACAAAAAAAAAAAAAAAAAATCTTAAGGGGTTTTGGGTTTATAAAATTTACATTTGGACAGTTTACATTTTACATACATTTTAGTATCTCATCACATACTCTTTTAATAGAAGTTTAAATAACTGTTTAATGTGATAGTGAGTTGTTTAGAAGTGGTAATATGTCCCTTGTGGGGGCCGGGGAGATGGCTTAGTAGAATAAGCGCTTGCCTGGCAAGCCCAAGGGTCTGAGTTCAATCCCTAGTTCTGCCAAAAAAAAAAAAAAAAAAAAAAAGTCCCTTGTGTCCTTTTATATTTAATTCACAGTGTCCAGTTGTTGTAATTACTGAATGTGTTACGGTTTTAATCATCCAATTAAATTAAAGAAAAACATCAGCTGTGCATCCAAGACATCTAGCATCTTAAGGCTGTAAAATAAATGAGAAAACTTTTTCTATGATTTTAAAGAACTTTTAATGTTAAATATTATCGATCCTTATATCTTAGACATACTGTTATGTCTGCTGCTAGAGCGTAGGTTCCAAAACATTTTGCTTTTGGTAGCACTTAAATGTATTGCCTCGAGAAAGAGAGTTCTGAGTTTAACTCTACACTCCCTATTAGTGAACTGTGTCCTAGGACCGTGGTTTGTCTCATTTATTCTTTTTGAGGAAGCCTCACCATGGTGCCCTGGCCTTAAATCCTGGACTGAAGGGATCCAGGGGATCCTCCTGCTCTGCCCTCTGAGCAGCCAGCACTGCAGGTACATGCCATCACATCTGACTGCTCAACTTAGGTTGAGCTTATTTCTCATAGAAGTGGGGCTGTACAACCCCAGCCTTAGAGGACTAGACAGTGTAGGGCGAATGTTAGCTATCACATTAATGGTATTACTTTTACATAGTGATAACACACACCCTATTAACTGGGTTCCGTCTTTAAGCATTAAAGCTTTTTTGTCATCGCTATACTTGCATTCTACGTATTGAGATTGAAAGGATCACCTGTGTGATCTAAGTGTCTTACTGTTGAAAGATTTCTGGTAAGTGTGCTGTCTCATGGGATTCCTGTGCCATTTTAATCAGGGGTTAGAGTCTGAATATTTGAATCAATTTCAGTATTGCCTTCACTGTCCCTTTTCTGTCTTATCCAGCCCCTTCTCCTGCAGGTAGACTCACAGCTCACCTGAAGAGGGGCTGGGATAAGCAAAATGTTCTGTATGGACCATAATAATCTAACATGATGTCATGTCTGTCACTTGCAGGGTTGATACTAGATGAGGATGACTTAAGCCTTGATGGTGCTTGTGTAAAAATGATAGCATTTCACTGGAAGAAAGTGTTTTTTACTGAAATTGTATTATTTGTGGATAAGTGATAAAGCTTCTGCATAAGGAAAATAAACTGGATAATATACATTTTATAATTTTTTTAGCTTCTGTTACAGTCTGCTCTGCAAAACTAAAAATGTACTAGTGAAGGCACTTCAAAGCTATAGAATCCTTCAACCTAGAGCTAACAGATACTCATAAGCTTTTTTTTTTTTTTTTTTTTTTAATCAGAAATCAAACTCTTGACCTGGTGCTTACCAGGCAGGTGCTGTACTGCTGAGCTATATTCCCAGCTCTTCAAAAGCTTTCTTTTTTTCTTTTCTTTTTTTTTTTTTTTTTTGCAGTACCAGGGATCAAACTCAGGACCTTGCACTTGCCAGGCAGACATCAAAAGCTTTCATTATTTAATTTGGTATGAATTTGGTGAGCACAGGGTCTTGTAATCTTTTTTTAAGTTCTCTTTATGTATGTAGAAAAACATTCTTTTTTTTTCTTTTATTTTTTAAAATTTTATTTGAGACAAAGTCGCACTGTAGTTCAGGCTGGCCTGATACTTGTAGTAGTCCTCCTGCCTCACCCTCCTGAGTGCTGGGACAACAAGCATGGATTACCGTGCCTGGCTCAGAAAAAGATTCTGTCCCAGTTATGTTCATGAACTGTCTTAGGAGAACTTCAGTTTTATGAAATATAGTCTCTTGATTGAACACATAATATGCACACAAGATCACACCTAAATCATTTAAGCAAGAGTAAAAATAAGAGGCCCTAATAACACCAGCACAAACTTGCTGCTGTTTGTGTTAGTGACCCGTGAGGCTCATGAATACATCACTGAGCCCGGAGGTTGGGGTTTTTTATGTGTGTGGTTGGCTAATGTGTATGTAAATCTGCCTGAGAACCCTTATAGTGTGTTCTGGATGCTGACATAAGCTCTGGTAAATGTTGGTGCTGAATCTAGAATGTGTCAAGAATGGAGTTTTAACATGAAGTTGAAACATTGAAGTAACCACTGCCATGCAGACTTGGATCTGAGACTCAGACACACAGTGGTACACGGACACACAGTGGTACACGTAGCACGTTCTTCACAGAAAGCATCGATTGCAGGAATAGTGCACGTGGACAGTGGCCTGAGCAGTGGTTTCCTGCCTCCTGATGCACCTTGTTATATGTTGCTTCTGGCGTGGCCCTTTCTGTCAGAACTTCCCTAGAGTCATTGTAATGATGAAAGGTAAAAGTTTGGAATTGAAGGAGAACTTTGGGGCAGCTGTAACTGTAACTAAACACAGGAAAGAAGGCTTGCAGAGTTGCTTTGGAAAGTGGCACGAAGATAGGTTTATGAGGTGTGAGGAGGTGCAATTTGAGGGACATTGGTGGGGGTGTGCCTTTCCCTATAGTTTAACATTTTGTAAACATTCACTGTGTTTTTAAAGTTACTTTATATCTGAGTTTACCGGTTCATGTAAAATGAGAGCAGTACTCATTCAAAGGAAATGGCACTATGGGAAATAGTGCTGGACACAAAAAATAACATGGTGTGTGCACCACGTGAAACCATAGGTCCCTTTTAAGGACAATATTTATTGGTTGCATACTGTAAGTGTGAGCACACACATCCTTGGCTTGCCCACAGGCTTGGAGGCTGCAGGGACTGCTTGGTTGAATTCCATAAATTCTGCTTCCACTTGTTCATGGGAGTGGTTCATAGCTTCTCAGCTTACCCAGAACTCCTGACATGGGTGTACTTGTCTGTTTGACTGGATTAAGACTCTTGCAGAGGAGAGACTGGATTAAGAAACTCAGGGAGAAATTGGATTGTAAATGCACTGACCTCACCGCTGGCTTTACCCATTGATGAGTCCATAGTTAAATGGGCTGTTACAGTGGGGCCTGTGTGAGACTGCATCATGGTACTGTGAGCTTGGCTACTGTATTTGGTCCAGGGCCCCTCCTCAGGCTGTTCCTATGTGTGCTGCCTCCTGGCTGTCATGCAATGACACCTCTGCTCTACTATGTCCTACTGTGACGGGCCTGCTTTGGACTCGGTTGACCAAGGGCTGAACCTATGAGCCAAATAAACCTCCCCTCCTGCAGATTTTAGGTTTCAGGTATTTTTGTACCAGTGATGGGACAGCTGACTGATACAGTGGAGAACTTTTTTATTTGTAATTTTAAATTTTTATTTCAGATAATGACGAAAAGAAAGATGGGAACTGAAATATAACACTAGTTTTTATTTTATATCCAGGGAGTACAAGCCCTTCCCTCTGACCTACTAGACCTAGTTGTGCTGGGTCTAGGCTGTAGCTTTATTAGGCAGAATTAATTGGTTTTAGACACACTCCTACTCACTCATCTAGCAGCCTTTTGATTGTGAGGGTATCCACACCAGGAAGTCATTGGCAGTAATAAGCCTGCTACAAAAGACTGCTTACCTCTGAAGGGCTTTTCTGTGGAATCCAGCTCATGAATTACTTGCATCCACTGTTCTTTGCTTGGTGCATAGAAAAGTATCAGACTAAAATGCCCAAACTCTAGCACATGACTCATTTATTTTTATATGGTCCTCTGGAAAGCATATTGTGAGTTGCTTGTGCACCATTTCCATAATTTTGTGTGTACTGTGAAGGGCCCAATGATAGCAGTTACCGAAGAGTTAAATGTGTGCCAGGGGAAGGAAAATAGTATGATTTCAGCCTCTGTAGAGTCAAGTCCAATCGTGTCTATTAATAATGGAAACAATCAAAAATTTCATAGGTGAAAGCTGTACTGTTTTCTGTCAAACCTTTAGACATAAAAGCCCCTCAAATTTCTTGCCCTCTTGCCTCTAAGAAAAGTTACATTGCAGATGGATACTAGACCTAAAAGTAAATCACAGAAAAGAGCAAGTTGAAAAAACAATGAACGTGGTGTTCTCCAGTATTGCTTCTTACAAGGATGATGGGTTGGAAAGAAACATGATGGACCAGTGTTGGTATAAGATCTGCCATCTGACCAAGTGGTTTATGTGTATCTTTCTAAAAAGAGTTTTTCACACCACCTTGAAGAGTTTGATAGTCTTTCAGTACAGTTTTATCTTACACTTCCCTCAACTTTTTTGTCTTGCTAATTGGCAGTAGGAGCTATCCAGTACAATCTAGGGTCAGGCAGGAAGAGGCTTCAGGTGGCCATCACCTGTTTTATTTCAGAAGAAGGTCAGAGATCTGCATGTTCTCTTCAGGACAAAAGTGAATCAAAGACTCAGTTGCAAGCCTGTGGCCCCAGAAAGCACGAGCGAAGGTGGTGACTTCTTTGTGAACACAAAAGCTGCTGAGGTTTGTGGAGCTGTGCAGATTGCTAAGGAAAACAAAACACCTGCAGCTACTTGTGGTCTTGCTGGCGAAAGTTCTGGGGCTACTTAGAGAATGAGACCTGTCCCTTTAGGAGCAAGGAAGATAGCATCATTTATCAAAGTGTGGTCTTCCTGTGGTGAAAGCCTGCAGTGGCCCCTGAACAACTCATCACTTCTGAAAAAAAATGTGTCAGATCTAGACACAGGAAAGACATGTGTGAGGGCACTTGCTGTGGTCTTTAAAGAGAGGTGCTGCTGCTGTCTCCCTCCACTTGGAGAAGGCCACATGACCCACGAGTCATGTGATCATTCCATACTGGACATTGCAGGCAAAACAACTTGGCATTTATTTTGAGAAATTTATTAAAATAACAGCAAGCATCAGTTGTAGACAGAACTAATAGTCATTTGCACCAAATCATGATAGAACAGAAGAGTAGTTTTAAATATAATTTTAAAAATACATATGGCTAAGGCACGACATCCTGTCTGTTTTCAATAAATAGCTGCTTTTTCAAAAGGCCATAATGAGTACCTCTAACATGAATTTTGGTACTAAAGGACAAGGTTTGCTGTGGCCATTCTATGTCACTTATTCTCAAAATGATTATTATTAGCTAAGAGTAGCATTTTTAAAAAATGGACAGTATGAAATATATCACAGTTTTCTTTTTCCAGTTTAGGTCCCTTACACAGAGACATTAGGTATAAAAGGTGCTGTTTCTTCATACATTCATTGGCAACAGTGAACTACACATAATGTACAAAAGATTACCTCCTATAAAGTAAAGGCATCTCAGGATTTCGTAGGACAGCTTGAGTTCTTGGAAAAGTTTTCAGCTGCAGTGAAAACTATTGGAAGTTTAGAAAACACAAGGCATTTTTTTTTTTTGTTTATTTTTGTGGCCAACTCAGCGGAAGTTTAGAAAACACAAGGCATTTTCTTTTTATTTTTGTGGCCAGCTCAGCCCACCCTGGAGGCAGGTTTGGCGAGACATGGTGCCGGGATCGAACCGGAGTCCCTGCGATTCTCTAAGCAGGCGCTTTAGACCGCTGAGCTATCTCAAATCCAAAGCATTTCTATATGCAAGAAGACTGCTTTTTAAGCAGCCCATGATCTAGGAGCTGCTGCAGCAGAGCCCCGTGGCCTGTGTGTAGTCTATGTGCCCATACTCGGCCGCCAAGGCCTCCTAATGTGTTTTGTGCTTTTGTTTCGGGTTTCAGCAGCTTGTGCAGCACTTCCATGTGCATCGCCTTATTCACTTCTAAGATGAAGGGTTTCAATTTTGTATTTTCCTGGATCTTTCCTGTTCTAGCACCTGGCTAGTCTCATGGTATGAGTTCTCTTTGGCAACAGTTGCTGCTGCTGCAGTGGAGTAGGCTTAGACTGTAGGATATGACCACAGCAAAGAGGACAAAAAATAACTCTCCCCAAGATTGCCAGATTGTTTGACCCCTGGGAATAATTTTTTTAATCAAAACACATTAAAAGTCACCATGTTGGACATTATTCACAGAAGGCCATTAGACTTCTTGCTAGACAGTCTAACTTTCCTGGCAGAAGTTAGGCTGCATAGACCTCTAAGATGAACATTACCATGCACTTGGCTTCTCCAGTCAGGTCTTCAGCACTTAGGTTATTGGGCAGTGAGGCTGTATGCAGTCATGAGGTAAAAGATGACAGGACTTCTGATACAATCCATATCTCATTTAGGTTGGCGGGAGGACAGTTATACAGGAAGGAGGAGGAGTCTATCTGATTTAGTTTACTACCGGGATATGATATTCAGCAAGGTTAAGCTGGAAAATATGCTTATTTTTGACATGTGACACATGGTCAAAGCTTTAATTGGAAAAAAATTAAAAAAAAATATATATATATGCATGCATTCTGGGACCTATCTGCTCAGATGCAGCACACCATATAGCTAATTTCACTCTGAAATGTCAAACAATATTGTTGGTAAGATTTTTATCTGCTTATATATATGAAGTTGACCTTAAATTACACGCACAATTTTTACCTCATAAAATACTAACTTTAACATCACTCACCAAGAAACATTTAGATACAAAGCATCTAATCACAAAAAATAAAAATAGAAAAGGTAATCAAAGAGCACTTCGGGAAGAAATGTTGGAGCCACAGAGCACTTAGTTGATCTTCTCCAGGGACCTGTAGTAATCTGTCAGCACTTTCCACGCTTTGGGGGCCATGAAGCCATCTGGAGGGTTCTCTCCTTCCCGGGCGAGCTTCCTCATACGAGTTCCTGAGATGAAGTCGAACTCATTGTGCCTGTCACAGTATAGCAACAAAGACCTCAGTGTAGGCAAGTTACCCTCCGTCTTAAGGATTCCTGCAATCAAGTTATGAGTTTGTACATCCACATTTTTTTTTCTTTCTGTAAAATCCCATGTCTTTGAAAATAGGAATTTGTAGAAGAAAAGGGAAGTAACAACAGCTATAGACTCAGTATTTTCTCTGCACATACTCTTGTCAGTGGAAGTATGTTTTGTATTTTAGTGTACTTTTAAGAACTCAGAGCCTGGAAAGGAAGAAGTATGCCATAGATACTGAAATCTTTTTTGTTGTTGTTACTTCCATTTATTTAATGTGACCAGCATACGTGGCAAGAGGAGATTTTTTTTTTTTTTTTTTTTTGATATGTTGGAGGTTGAACCCAAGATCTAACATGTTAAGCAAACACTGTCACCAAACTGTACTCCCATTCCTAAAGGAATTACTGTAGATCATCTGCATACAGGGTGCTGTGCTACACACAGCTTCGGGGACACTAAGGCCAAGTCATTACTCTCAAGAGACTGATTCCATTTGGGAGTAGGTGGAAGTGCACTGGAGAGTTTTCTGAAGGATGAAAGTTTTGCTCCTCATTCCAGTTGTAAAGATGTTGGTTAGATAATTTTCCTCTGAAGAACTTACCTTTCTGGATCATAGAAGTCCATGGCCTTTTTGGCTTTGTTGTAAGCAGCCACTCGGAACGGAATGATTTCCACAGAGGTGAGGCCTGGTGCCATGGTCAGGACCTTGCCCCCATGTGTGGCTTCATACAGGTCCTTCTTGGTCTCAGGGTGGGGCATTCCTGCAGGGTCCCTGCCCACAATGTAGAAGTTGGCACCTGCTATCATCCGGCACCTGCAGTGCCACTGGACCTAGGAAACATCATGTACGGGCCATTATGGGCCAAGTCTGTGGGTTTCTGTTTACACAGACTCTAATTCTGATTTAGCAATAATTCAGTAACAGACTGAAAGTTGCAAGAAATTCAGCGAGTTCTAGGACTTCACGTTCTCTTCTTAGACCTAGTTATAAACAGGAGTGTAAAGGGACACTTCATACAAATCCTCCTCTTAGAACTCAAGGTCGTATTTCCTCATCTCCAAAGAGGCTGCCACACCAGGAATACTTAGCTCTTACTGCTCTGCCATACTGATTATTTTTTAAATTTTCAGTTCCTGCCCTACTCAGATGCAGCACAACTTAAAGGACATTGCAAACCCACTTCTCATCTGACCACCAGTAATGAGCTAATCACCTTTCATATTCAGACACTGATTCCATTCTATGCAACACTTGTTCTCTTTAAAACTCAGAAATACAGGCGCTGGCCAGATAGCTCAGCGGATTAAAGCACCTGCTTAGGCAGACGCAGGCATTGGGGTTCAATCCCCAGCATGCCATGCTGGCCTCGCCCCCTGGGGCACATGGAGCTGGCACTGAGACTGGGTTTGGTGGCATACGCCTGTAATCCCAGCTCTTGGGAGGCTGAAAACAGGAGGATACTATAGTCTGATCTGTGTAGCGAGGCCCTGTAGACCCTGTCCTAAATACATAAAAGAAAAAACAACTCAGAAATACAAAGCATGGAAAGAAAAACTAGGGGCCTGGGACTTTGAGATGACTGAAGAGAATTAATTCATTAGACTCAGTTTGGGCTATTCCAAAGTGTTAAGACTCTCTCGATTCATCATACTTCCTGAAAACTTCAAACCTGCAGTGGGATAAAATCTATTTGATGGGTTTGATGTACTATATGAAGGAGAGATCTCTATCCTTTAAAGACAGCCTCTCCTCTCTGGCAAGATCACAGGGCATTGGGAATGGAACAGCGCAGTTATGGTGAACCTTTTGGAGACCCAGAGCCCAGACTGCAATCCATAGCCCCCTTACCATGAAGTGCCAACTCTGCATTTAAATCTGAATATTGAGTTTTTAGTATAGAGAAAACAGCTGTCATCCAGTACTCAGCTGCTGGGTTAGGTTGGCCACACATGGCAACGGTGAGGACTCTGGGTACTTGCTGTGGCACATGTGCCATATGTTTGACACCACGGGGATGCAGGAACCAGAACGAATGACATTAAAAATTAGGTTAGGTACTACTTGCCCTGCAACCCAGGCAAGCTTTGTGATCTGTCTTATGACATGCTGACCTCAGTTTCCTCAGGGCAATGTACAAGAGGTTTGACTTAGACATTTCTAGCATTTTTTTACAGATACAAAATGGACACATTAACCTGGATAAAGAAGAGAGAAAAATGTACTCATGAAGAAGAAAGGGTCCCAGAATCTCATTTAATCTCAAGTCAGAGCCTGCATCCGAGTCTGACGGTGCCGGGAGTGGCTCACCTCTGTGGGGCCGGCGTATAACATGGGAGATGGAAAGATAGCTACGATGGTGGACTTGGGGTCCAACACTCTCTCCTCCAGCACGGCTGCGTGCTGCTTCATGCGCCACTCCAGAGGCACGTCGTCGTCCTTGGTCCAGCCCCCCAGGGGGTGCAGCAGCAGCACGGGGTGCTGGTAGCCCCTCTCCAGGAGCCGCCGGTGGGTGTCCTGCATCAGCAGAGCATGGCCATTGTGGACAGGGTTGCGCAACTGGAACGCAAACACCGCATCTAGTGGAGAAAAGCCAAGGTCAGAGAAACGCAGCGTTGTCCACCCGCAGGAGCAGAAAGGAAAGATGCAAGGTTTATTGTTCTTCGTGTTCATTAAGTCAACTTGCTTTAATGGTCAGCTGGAGGACATATCCGGGCCTTGGGGATGGTAACACTGCTACCGTGCAAGATGGCACAGGCAGGGCCACGCACAGACGCAGGACGCTGGAACAGGGAAGGCTGTTGTCGGCAGAGCCTTTGTTGTCGCCTGGGGTTTCCCTCCAGCCACAGGTCACCAGGGCATGTGGAATCGTGGGGGATGCTTTCTGGGGCTCCTGAACTGACAGCAGTCTCCAGATAGAAATCTCAAAATTTCTTCACTTTAAAGAAATCTTTACATCTTCTCCACTTAAGTTGGGCATGGATACATTCCTGCAGTTCCAGCTCTCAGGAGGCTGAGGCAGGGGGATCACTATGAGTTTGAGGCCAGCTTGGGCTACATAGTGAATACAAAGCCAGCCAGAACACAGAAAGAGCCTGTCTCAAAAAAAAAAAACAAAAACAAAAAAAAAAAACAACAAACAACAACCACCCCCCCGCAAAAAAAAAAAAAAACAAAAAAAACAAAAAAACAAAAAAACACCAGAGAGAACAAAAAAATTGAAAAGGTCTCAGGATGCAGCTCTGGGCTAAGCCCCTGCACACAATCTCCAGTGTGGCAAAAACAACCACTGCTCCACCTGGAGGTGGGCTTCTGAGAGTTTAATCTTTTTCTGGCTGTGAAGTATAATTAATATTTATTATAGAAAACTTGGAGAATACAGTAAAGCCCAAGATAGAATATGAAAATCACCAGTAATGCCATCATAACATTATCTCTCTTGCAAGTGTATAAAGAATGAAAATCTTTCTCCTCAGTCCAGCTCCTTCCTCAAGAGGGAGCTGCTGTCTTCTGCAGTTTGGAGTACAAACTACCAGAGACTTTGATTTTCCAAACTAGGATTGTACTATATGTATTGCTCCATAAATTGCTTTTCACTTAATAAGTACACTTAAGTATCTGTGTGACTATGTATTTGTAACTGTTGCATATATTCCAGGATATGCCATTGTCTTATTTTATTTTTTGGTACTGGGGATAGAACTTAGGACCTTGTGCTTGCCAGGTAGGTGTTTAAACTGCTGAGCTATCCCCCTAGTCATTTTTATTGTTTAAAAAAACACTGATTCAGGACTGGCCAGATAGCTCAGCGGACTAAAGCACCTGCTTAGGAGCCTCAGTGGCCTGGGTTCGATCCCCGCCCCACCCCCCGGGGCGCACTGAGACAGCGACTGAGACTGGGCGTGGTGGCGCGCACCTATAATCCCGGCGCTTGGGACGCTGAACACAGGAGAATCACTACGAGCCAGATCTACGCGGTGAGACCCGGTAGACCCTGTACCAAATACATTTTTAAAAAATGTTGATTCATATCCTTAATTCTTTAATCAGGAAGTAGGGCTAAGTGCTCTCCAGGCAGCCGACGTACCAGCATTCATTTCTCTGCATTTCTGTTTGAGCTGCAGAGGCGTCAGGCGGTACTGGTCCAGCCCATCGTCCCACCGGATTCTCTCCAGCACTCGAAGGTCGCCGCCGACCAGCCAGTCTCCACTTTCCATCACCATCTGGAAAGAACGGTGTTAGTGTTGGCCGTGAGTCGTGTCTGAGCATTTCTCTCTTCCTTTGGGACCAGTCTTGGGTTACTGTCGAAGAACTGCCTGATTCAGGTCTTTCACATTTCTAGGGCACTGGTGTTGGTTTTTTTTTTTTTTTTTTTTCCTTTTGGTATCAGGGATTGAATTGAGGACCCTGCCCTTGTCAAGCAGGCGCTTATGCCGCTGAGCTATCTCTTGGCCCGCAGCGAGGTATTTCTCAAACTTTTTGGTCTCTTGACTTCTGCCTGTTCTTAAAAATTATTATTATTATTATTTTGGCAGAACCGGGAATTGAACTCAGCTTAAAAATTGAGACACCTGCCTTTCTTAAAAACTGAGACCCCCCAACAGCTTTTAAGTTATAGCTAAAATTATTTGTCCCACTAGAAATTAAAATGGGGAATATTTTAAAACTTTTTGGTTGATGTAACACAAATCAATTACCCATTAATATAAATATAATTTTTTGGTGAAAAAAAATATTCCTACACCTCCTCCCAAAATAGGGGATATAACATTGTTTTACATGCTTAGCAAACATTGGATGTTCATACCACCTTCTGCATTTAATCTATGGCAGTTTTTGGCTGAAGTAGGTAAAGAAAACCCAAGTATAGTAGTCACTCGCTACTTTGTGGTTTGACTTTCGCAAACTCGCTGTTTCGGGAGTTTTCAAAAAATATTAATTTAAATTATGTATCGCGGATTTTTCACTATCTCTTGGGATTTTGCAGTATTGTACAGTATACATATGTTGTTAAAATTACATATGTTTACCAGGTTTTTTTTTTGGCGGAACCGGGGATTGAACTCAGGCCGTTGTGCTTGCCAGGCAAAGCGCTTATTCTGCTGAGCCATCTCCCAGGCCTGAGGTTTACTAATTTAGAAAATGTTTAAGAACAATGAAGTGTTTTTAAAAGTGTGGAGAAGGGGGACTGGGGAGATGGCTCAGTAGAATAAGTGCTTCCCTGCCTAGCGGAAGGGTGTGAGTTCAATCTCTGGTTCTGGAAAAAAAAAAAAAAAGTATGGGAAAGGTTCATAAGAGTGTGGGAAGAATATACCATTGCTTCTTCCCTGATTTTGACTTACTGCTGGAGGTCTGGAACCTAACCCCTGCAATAAGCAAATGACCTCTGTACAGGCAGGTAGTTGCAAAAGGAAAAAGGTTTGAATAGACTTTTTGTATAATTGTGGGTATTTTTCTTTAATGTATTTTGTACACCAAAATACAGTGAGGGCTAGTTTCTTTTTCTTTCTTTCTTTCTTTCTTTCTTTCTTTCTTTCTTTCTTTCTTTCTTTCTTTCTTTTTTCTTTCTTTTCTTTTCTTTTCTTTTCTTTTCTTTTCTTTTTTTTGTGGCAGGCTCAGCCTGCCCTCTGGGTGAAACTGGCAAGGCATGTGATGCCGGGGATTGAACTGCGGGCTCTGTAGTTTGCCTAAGCTGTCTAAGCAGGTGCTTTGGATTGCTGAGCTATCTCGCCAGCCCTGAGGGCTAGTTTCTTAAAGGTAAGCTACATTCAAATCTGAAACTTTTGCACAGTGAGACTCTGAAAAAAAAAATCAGAAACTGAATGTACTTTTCATGCTCCGTTATGTTACAAATATATTGTGCTTTTTTAAAAAAGTCTTACTTATGTATTTATTTGGTACAGGGTCTTGCTATGCAGCTCAGACTCATAGTGATTTTCCTGTCTCAGGCTCCCCAGCACTGAGATTACAGGCATGTGTCACCATGCCAGGTCTCAGTGGCCAGCACAGTGTACCCAGAGTTCCAGGTCTGGCATGGCATACGGTATTGGGATTGAACCTGGGTCCTTGCTCTTGCCGGCCAGCACTTAGACTGCTAACCTATCTCCCCAGCAAAAGCTTTTGGGCTTTGAATGAGTCTTTTACCCACAATTATAACAAGCTGGTCAACTAGAAAATACTGGTTAACTGAGCCTGCTGACCATTAAAGGATTTTTAAAAAAACACATCTTCATTAGTAGTGGCACTAGTCTCGGCACAAGGCTTCTAAGTATGGTGAAGCTCCTAGTGGTGAATGAAACTTTTCCAGAGAGAAAAGGCCAATCATTGGAAAGTCATATTCTCACTTGTTTTTTTGTAGAAGTGACAGGACTTTGTTCATTTTGAAAAAATACTTGACAAATTGCCAAGTCTGAAGAACCATACATTGCTGCTCATTCTTTCAAGTAAAAATGAAGTTTCATGGAGGAGGAAATGTTGGTTTAGGCCAATAATATATATATAAATACATATATATATATATAATATATAAGATATATATATTATATATATATATATTTTTTTTTTCCCAAGTACTTTTTTGTGGACTCCTTTTTTTGTAGCAGGATATGAAAAAGACATGAACTCAAGGGCCAACAATTTTTTTTTTCCTTTTGTGGAACTGGGGATTGAACTCAGGCCCTAAGGGCTAACGTTTAATAACCAGTTTTACACCTTTATCAAGAATCCTCCAGTGGGGCCAGCGAGACAGCTCAGAGGACCAAGTGCCTGCTTAGGCAAGTGCAGGGACCGGGGTTCGATCGCCATCACTACATGCCCCGCTGGCCCCACCCCTGGTGTGCTAAGCTGGCCACAGAGTCCAGGTGTGGTGCTGCCCACCTGTAATCCCAGCACTAGGGAGACTGGAAACAGGAGGATCACTACGAGTCTGAGCTGAGCTGCCTAGTGAGACTCTGTACCAAATACATTAAAAACAACAACAAAAAAATCCTCAAGTGAAGCTGGCATTTTTTTTACTGCAAGTTTCTGGTATTGTGAGGTAAAAGGGCAGAGTTATTTCTCAGATTTAAGTCTAAGGCATCAGCAGTTTTACACACCCTTGCTTTTTGCACTGCCTGTGTAGATGTCAGGAGAGTGAAGAAGGGCAAATAATGACTTAGTATCAGCATAGTTTCAAGCTCAGAGATTCTCTGGATAGGTCATAACATCCTAGAAGGTTTTGTGAACCATCTTTTGGAATGGCTTCCAGCAATTCCTAATGCAGTCTAACGCAGCTTACACTTTATTAACGCATGAATAGGGACTCAAAATAGAGGGTGGGGAAGAATCCAGACAGGTTAGTTTTCTACCAGTTAATTACATTAGGGTACAATTTCTATTGAAATTCTCCAAGGATGCAGCCTCCTTCACTTACATCTATTTTAAAATAAAAAATCTCCAAAGACTACCAAAATCTACACCTAAGGGGCTGGTGAGATGGTTCAGTGGTCTAAAGCACCTACTTGGAACAAGCTTAGCAAACACAGGGACCGCGGTTCAATCCCCCAGCACCACATGCCAGCCAGCCCTGCCCCCTGGTGGGCTGAGCTGGCCACCCCACCCCACACAAATAAATTTAAAAAAAAAAATTAAAAAAAAAACTACACCTAAGGCTAGAAACAAGAGTATTAGCTAAACCTCTGTTTTTCTCAAATGATCTCCAAGAAGGATGCAGGGCCCTTCTTGGGGAGTCAGGGTGTGTGGAAGATTATCTTCAATAAATGTACTGGAGAAACTAGATTCCCACATGCAAGAGAATAAAGTAGACTCTTTTTACACCATATACAAAAATTAACTCTAAGTAGATTAAAGATAAACATACAGGATCTTAAAACTATAAAACTTTGATGAAAGAATATAAGGGTAGGGCCAGGGATATAGCTCAGTGGCACAGTACCTGCCTGGCAAGTGCAAGGTCCTGAGTTCGATTCCTGGTACCAAAAATTTTACATAAGGATAAAGAATCCATGACATTTTTTTCTTGAATTTTTCCCCAAAGCCCAGGCAACAAAAGCAAAAACAGGCAAATGGGACTACTTCAAATCTTGCATTAAAAGACACAGAAATGGCAACTGATAAAATGGGAGAAAGTGTTTGTAAATCACAGGATGTGGAAAGGGGCTAATGTCCAGAACATAAAGCACCCCAACAACTCAATGACAAATCACCTGATTTAAAAATCAACCAAGGGTTTGAATGGACATACAGCGGTACCTCTCTTCACAAACTTAATTCTCTCTGCAATTCTGGTCACAAACCAAATTGGAAGAGAACTGAATCGAATTTCCTCATAAGGTCAACATTGACCCTAGCCATCAAATTTGGTTCAGTTCTTGTCCAATTCTGTTTGTGACCAGAACTATGGAAAGAATTGTTTGCGAACTGAGGTACCGCTGTATCTCTGAAGATGATCTACAGTGTCCAAATGCAAGTGAAAAGAAGCTGAATATCACTATTACAAGAGAAATGAACCCAAAAGCCCAGGGAGGCTTTTCACAGCTGTTAGGAAGCTATTTTCAGGAGACAGGAGCTAACAAGTATTGGCAAGGATGTGGAGCCACCAGAACCCTTGTGGACTGGGACAGTAAAAGGTGCAGCCCTCATGGAAAACAATATGGACGTCCTTGCAAAAAATTAAAAATAGAACTACCATACGATCCCACAGTCCTATACTTCTGGCCACGTGTGATGGTGCATGTCTGCAATCCCAGCAGTAGGGATACTGAGGCAGGAGGATTGGCAGAAGTTCAAGGCCAGCGTGGGCTACATACTGAGTATAAGACCAGCCTGACCTGCATAGTGAGACCCTGTATCAAAAGACCAAAAGGAGAGAGATTTGCTCACCTATGTCCACAGCACCCATTGGCAATAGCCTAAATGTGGAAACAAAGCAAATGTCCCTCAACAACTGCGTGGATAGGGGGCCCGCCCCTTAGCTCAGTTCTTTAAGTGACTACTTCAACAAAACCGTCAGGCTCAGGCTGCTGTGGTTCGAGCCCCACAACTCAAGACAGCCAAACCTGCCCTGAAGGCATTCAGAGCAAAAAAAAACCCCAAAAAACAAAAAACAAAACAAACAAACAAAAAAAAAAAACTGCGTAGATAAATAAAAGGTGTCATGGAAAACACTGGACTATCATTCACTCTTGAAAAAGGAAACCCCATTAAATGCTGCAACACGGATGTC